TGGCCAAGACTGAAAAACATGACAGTTTTGCTTTCACTCATTTGGCCAATGTGGCAATGTCGCCTCCTTCCCCTGCCAGTCTCCTACCTTTAGCCAGCATGAGGCCCTGGTCTTGCTGTCTCTGATTCTCAGTCCTCCCTCTTTCCGGTCCTCTATTGGCCTGTGTGTGTGTTATCCACCTGGACCCAGTCTAGGATGCTCCCTTATGTGCAGTCACTGACTTTCTGGTCCTCTGCTGGCCTGTGTGTGTGTTATCCACCTGGACCCATCTAGGATGCTCCCTTATGTGCAGTCACTGACTTTCTGGTCCTCTGCTGGCCTGTGTGTGTGTTATCCACCTGGACCCATCTAGGATGCTCCCTTATGTGCAGTCACTGGCTTTCTGGAGCAGCCGGATGCAAGGCCTTTCATGGGAGCAGCAGGACAAAAGCAATGCAGGGCTGAGGACCAGATTCAGCTCAAACCCAGCATGAAGATTGGGTGGCTTCTGAGCAGGAGTCAGGCCATATTTGGGAACAATCAGAACTTTAGAATACTAAGCTTCTGATTGTGAGAGGCACAGAGGTCTAGGAGGGAGGTAGCAGGGGATGAGACTCTTGCTTGGAAGAGCCACCCTGAATTAGAGCATTTCCACTCACTTCCTTTAGCTAGTAGAATGCTGTGTGGAGAATAAAGTAAAACAAACAATACAGTGATCTGCACCAACACCCAAGAATACTTCTAGGCTGGTACCTAACGATCACAAAAGGGTTGCTATGCCCACACTCACAGCAACATCCAGACAAGACAGTCCGTGTCCTACTCATCCGTGCATCACAGCCTTTGCCAGTGACAGTGACCAAGGCTGCTGTGTGAAAAGCACGCTTGTCCCACTCACAAAATATCTCATTCAAAGAAGATTAGTTTTCCTCTTCGTTTCATAAGAATTTAAAATACATTGCCTTCCTCTTGCAGTCTCCATGTGATGGGGGCAGGGAGTTGACATCTGCAGTCTCCTCCCCCCCATCAAAAGTGCAGGTGTTGAAGGCTTAATCCCAGCAGGAGGTGCTAGTGAAGCCAATGGGATAAGAACACTACCTTTATCAGTGATAGGCTCATTCATGAGTGAGCCATTAGCACGTGGCTGGTTGGAGGAAGTATGCAGGTCGTTGACAGCATGTCTACAAAGATGTGTTCCGTGCCTGACCCCACTGCTGCCACCACCACCCACCTCCTCCTCTTCTTTCCCTCCCTGCTTTCCAGCTGTAGTGAGGCTGATGGCTTTTCTCTGTCATGCCCTTCTGCTGTAATGTCTCTAGCTTGTCACAGGCCTACCAACAGTGAGGCCAGTCCACCAAGGACTACAAACCCTAAAACGGAGAGCCAAATCCAATTTAGAAACAAGGGAGCTTTTTTCTAAATTGCTTTTTTCAGATCACTCGTCAAAGTGACAAAAAGTGACTAATACACAAGGGACATGTGATGGTGGTCTGAGGAAGAGTTTTGAAGTGTACAGTTGTTTTCCAACTGAATATGAATGGGGTCCTTTTCCCAGGGGAGTGCCTGGTCAGACCCTCCTGGCAGGAAACAGCAGGGCCCCTGGAGCACTGGCTGCTAGCTATGGTGTCCCAGTTGGCCAGGCTGAGCACAAGCCACATTCTCATCTGAGTTGGCAGAGACTCCAGCAGATGATACCTTTGCTTCTGGTGCAGGCACAGGAGGCATTAGACTGGGTCTTTGACTCCTGGATGCTGTATTTTGGTCTCATCCTCATTCACAGCCTTGCTGGTAGCATCCAGTTGTCTAAAGCCCTACAGGATCCAAAGCGAGATCCAGGGTGCTCTGGAGCTCCCACAGGCTTGGAAACTGATTTCCTCCAGGCTCTTTTTGAAAACTCACCTGTCATCTCTACTCAGCTTATCCAGAGCTGGGTGACATGCCCCGACAGTGTAATGCAAAACTGTGGGCTTTGTTTTCCTTGGTTTCTTTATAGTCTTCATGAGACAGAGCCAGAGCACAGGAGGAGATAAACCAGTTAGGAGCTAAGAAGACACTGTTTTGTTAAGCCTTGGGTGATAGCCTTGATCATGGCACTGCCTAGGGCAGGACCTTTGGGGAAGAGGTCAAACATGTCCTTAATGAAGCTTCTGCTACATTCAAAAGCAAAACCAGAGTATGAGAGCATAAAACATAAATTGTGCTTTAGTGGTTACTCTGAAGAAATGATCACGGAAGCGTGTGGACACTCAGGACACGAGCACCAGGGCACTAGTGCAATGATCAGGTGTCTACACCCTCTGGTAGGTCTCCAGCCTCAGAAGATTTGGGATGTCCCAGTAAGACGGTATGGCAAACATGGATAGCTTCCATTTCTGCCGGGACAGTCCTGGAACTCTATCGACTATTCTATAAGTAACGCACAGTTCTGGTCTGGATGTCCTTTCTGAGAGTTCCTGCTGATGGAGAGGGATTTGGAGCACCGTGACATAGGGTTTGCTACAGTAAGGAGGGCAGTGAAAGGCCAATCTCCCGTTCGGCCCTCAAAACTGTCCCTAGTTCACATTTCACAAATATTTCCACTCAGTTCTCCATGTGGCCCAGTGAGTTTCCCAGCAACGTGAACCTCTGTGCTGGTCCCAACTATGAAACCCCCAGTGTCTCCCATCACTGTGCTTGTACAAAGTAGGGACTCACACACACTCAAAGATGTCCATGGATTTCAACATTGTCCCCTTCAGAAAGAGCCCACTTTATAGACTAGAAAGCGGCAGAAGTAATGAGGGGCGTCAGAAATCAGGACATCAAAGGTTTAGGTTTTCCATTTCTTGAAGTCCTTTGCTATGCCAGGTCCTCCAGGTCAGCCCCCTCTTCTGGATCCCCCATCTCCTTGTAGCTCTCACAATCGGCTAATTTGATTCCACTTCGCCCCCCTCCAACTCCGGACCACCATAAGTCCTGACTGGTCTTTAACAGCTCCTTCCCGTGTTCTCAGCCCCCTCTCCAGCCTTCTCCCTTCCTCATCCCTGTGCCTACCCACCACCCACTTAGCAGTGCTGATTCCTCTCCCATGTGCTTGGATGTGAGTTGAGTGTCCAGCTTTCTCCTCACTGCCACCTTCTTCCCTTCTGCACTCTACAAACACCCACTTCGAGCCTCTGTCTTTGCTGGACTGTCTTAGTTCATTCTGGTTGCCTTCCCGGTTCATAAAGAATAAACTAACTACATGACCGGTCCTTACCTGCACCATTCAGCATGTACTCTGATAGATGGTTTCAACCTAATCTACCAAAAGTTTTCTTTTTTCTTCTAATGCCAAGGACCAAACTCAGGCCTTGCTTGTGATAGGCAAGTGCTCCACTGCTGAGTTAAATCCTCAGCCCCACTCAGACACCTTGTTGTTTGAGATTCTTTCTCTGTAGCTCATGTTGCCCTCAAACTTGTGTTCCTCCTGTTCCTCAATCCACTAAATTAATTCCTCAACTAAATCTACCACGTGAAAATCAGATGCAGCCTATGTAGAGTGAGTTTTAGAGAATAGTTTCAGTTTTCCACAGATGCAAGATCTACAGTCGTGGTTCAAGGTGCTGAGGTATGCGAGAGCCCACTCAGGACATCCCAGAATAGACAGTAACCCATGCCTGAACTATGCCGCACACACAAGCGCTGACCAGACCCAGGCAGATGATGTCCCAGAGAAAATCTGGTATGGATAAATCCACTGACGTAGGCCCTGACAGAGAGCCTCCATGCTGGGAAGATGGTAGCAAGACTGATTGGGCCAGACTGTAACATGCCCCTCCCCATGCCTGCCATGTTTGAGGCTACATGCTCATTTCTACAGTGGTCACTGTGCTCCACCACATTAGGTGGGCTAGTTGCTGCACATCTGCCCCTCATACTGCCAGCTGTGCGATTTGTGTGTGTCACCTGACCTCTCTGTGTTCTCGGAGTCCTCGAGTAGAAGTAATAGTCTGTCACTATGCATCATGTTAAGCCTGTCTCGAGCCGTGAATGATGAAGAACAGTGTACGAAACTACACCTGGACAGGGTTACTATTGTTAGGTTCAACTGCTAGTGGGCATGCGGATTGTTATATAACCATATATAATATATAACAAAGTTATATTTTGTTAAAAGAAGCTAAAAATCTAGTGTTCTTGTGTGTGTGTGTGTGTGTGTGTGTGTGTGTGTGTGTGTGTGTACAGAGAGAGAGATAACAAGGAGAGAGACTTTTTTTTTCGCTGTGACTTTTCTAATCTTGAAACATTCACCATTTTTGAAGAACTGTGCAGGCAGCAAAATTGTCTGCTGCCCACTGGCTGCAGCACATCTGGACTGTTGCCTGAGATTTCCCGCCAGCATCTCCTGGGCTGTGTCCTGGGCCCCCTGCTCACCTCAGCATGTTTCAGGAGGAGAAAGGACACCGGCAGGGGTGAGACAGGCTGGAGCAGGAGTGGGGTTGCAAAGGGTAGGGTGTGTGTCTAGGTGGTAATTTCAGCTCTGAATGACAGGTGTAGTGAGTCCGTTTCTGCAGGCAATTGTTTAGATCTCACCGCAGCGCTAACACAGCATCTGCTAAATGTATCATCAAGATCACGCAAACTTATAACGGAATATTTAGATGATTTACTAGATGCAGTTTCTGATTCAATCAGAGTGGCATTGGATGTGATCAGCGATACCTCTCATCTGACTGGGCGTCCATGGAATTTGAAGGCGATGCATTTGATTTTGCAAGCTGACGTACCCCATTTGGGAGTTGAGTGACGGATCTAGTCCATGCTGAAGAATTCCAATTCTCCCATGCCTAGTGGTTGCCTCAGTGTGTAATATATGAATTTTAATAATAAGACTAGCCTTTGGGTTAGTGGCCCAGGTCCTCCCCATCTCCCTGCTGTGTGATTGCAGCAAACCCCCAGGCAGGCTTGCCTTGGGTCATCACGGGAACACAAGAACAAAGAGGGAGCAATCTATGTCTCCATATTTTACCTAATGATGACACTAATAATGTCCTCTAACTTATAATTCCTTTCCTCACCATTCTGAGATCCATAGGTGGCCTTCTGTCTGTAGGTCTAATTGCTTGGCAGTCCATGGCCAGGTCACTGCGCTGAGAATCTGACATTTGGCAAGGTTCCTATGCAAGCCATCCCTAGACTAGGCACTGTGGTTTTCCGCGCCATTTTCAGGGTTAATTTTGCAGGTTCCTTGGGATAGACAAGAAGAGTTCTCTCACTGAGCAGTTTCTCAGCCCCTCCCCAGTCATCCATGTTCAGTCCCAGGTTGGATAGGGACCTCCCTTCCAGACGACAGCTGCTCAACTGTTCTCCCTTCTGCCTGGGGTGTCCGCCACTCCCTCACGGCAGCCCTTCTCCCTTGCCCCATCTCAGCTCAGATTGCGGAGAGTACCTTCCTCCCACAGAATCTTCATGATGGCATCATAGGAGTGGTCCTGTAGCAGATGGTCTCCTCTTCAGCTCTCTTCGGAAGCTGGTTTAGCACCTGACACGTGCGAGACTTGTGAACTTGGAGGAGGAACACAGAAATAACAACCACAGTGATTAGCCTGTGCGGAGCTCCAGGGTCAGTCAGTCCTTTTAAGAATAAAGTCCCAGTGCTAGGTTAGGCATGGTGAACAGGGCTCGGAAATCTGTCTGGCACTCAGGAGGTGCAGGCAGGGGGGACTCAAGTCCAAAGCCAGCCTGAGTTATGCAGCAAGAAAGGTCCCCTCTCAACAAACAAACAAGCAAACGAATAAAGTTGAAGGTAAATAAATAAAATTCTGGTACTTTACAAGAAGCATCTCTTCATCATTTCCAGTCCCCACAGCAGGTCATATGTGAGGAAAATAACCGTTCTGTTGGCATGGGGAAACTGAGGCTAGGCGAGAAGAGACGAGGTCTGTTGAGTTTCACACTGTCGGAATTAGAGTCTAGTCTAGGTTTTTCAGACCCCCCAAAGTCAAGCTATTAACTGTTACGTCATCATCCGTCCTCCCAGACCCAGACGGACCGCCTCATCTGTGCCCAGGACAAGGAGGCTGCCGTCCCCAGATGCCGAGGGGGAGGGGGAGGGGGAGGGGGAGGGGGAGGGGAAATCCTATGACTCATTGCGAAACAGCTAGATGGTAAGCTGAGATCCAAGGTATCATTAGAGACAGGCTCCCTGAAGGAGTGTTTGATCTAGCCCTGAAGGAAAAGAAGTAGAGAAATGGGGCTCCGGCTAAGCCAGTGACCACCCAGGACCAGCACTGCTGTCCTCATGCTGCCTCTCCTTAGTCAGGGAGTTGGGAGGTGGTGTGAGGGTTACTGATCCTTAGGGTGAACTCTGTGACTCTGTATCTAGCGAACTCTGAACCCAGGAACTCTGTGTTGAAGTAAAAGGAACCCCCAACCCATCTAAGAGATCTAGTATTTCTTAGGGTCTTAGGCCCTGGCTCGGACTGAATCCTGGTCTTCCCATGAAGAGGAACTAGACAGAAAGCACAGCGCTTGCTCCCTCCTCCCATGTTTGGTCCACAGCTCTCCCACCCGCTCCTGTTACAGACTGGAGTTCCGGAGCCCAGCACGCGCCTTCAGCGTTACACATGCTTTCATTTAGTCGAGCACCATTGAAGGATGACCTCATAGGCTTAACCCATCCTTACACAAGCCTCCATGAGGACTCACCCAGCGAGACCACTGTGTGGAGGCCATTTGAGACAGAAATCTTCTTCACAGTGGCCCAGGCCATCTCCCCCAGCCTACTGAGTCTGTCTTCGGAGGTGGTCACGGAATCAGAAATGTGACAAGTCCTCCCGGGAAGGTTGACAACTATTGCTGGCACAATGTGTGGTGGGGTGGAACCTGGCAGAGGGCCCGGGGCCACATCCTCTGAGTCGCAGATGAGACAGTCCCTCTAGTGTTCTGCTAGGCCACAGTTCAGCTCACTCCTCTGTTCTGTCCCCAACCCCAAGGAAGCCCGTACATCAGGTGGCCTATCAATCCATTCTGCAGGGCAGAGGCTGCCACAGGCACTTCAGGCTCTGCTCAGGGTGTGAGGGGGGTCAGCACACTGGACCAGAGAGGAGCAGACAGACATGTCCCCCTCAGAGGCACAGCGTCCCTGGGTGCATGCAGTGAGCCGGATGCCTAAACACTCCCAATCCTAAATGCCAGATCCATTTCTGGGGAGGAGATTGAGGCATGGAGTGGTTAAGGGGCTTACCAAGACCCTACACTCCTAAGTAAATGTGTGAAGAATGAAGGGGAAGGGAGTGGCACCCTGGGCACACGTCCCACGGTGGTGAGTGACCCGGAAGCATGACAGGCCATTTGTATCGAGAACATCCCACCACCCAGGCAGAAGCCAACTCCAGCATAAGGCTGGTGATGGGCCAGACAGCCAATTCCTTGGGGGCTCAGTAAGGAGCAGCTGCCTGCTCCACTCCTGCCGCTTCTAGAGGCCACAGTGGTGGCCCTGGCTGCACACATTTTCCCAGGCTGAGGCGGCAAGTGGGGGGTCCTCAAGTGCAGACAAAGAAATAGCTCAGCCCTGCGAATGGCTTTGAAAATGGGGCATTTGGGATTCCACTTGGCTGACACACTCTGCCCTGGCCCAGGCCTTGTCCCCCAGAGACATCCCCCAGCCCCTGCTGGCCAGCTGTGTCTCCCACTGCCGCCCACACCAAAGCCCTGACCACACGGAAATGGTTGTTCAGCCCAGAATTCCCCATCACACCCCTTCCCACATAGGGAGGAACAGGAGCAGGGACCATGGCAGCAGAGACTCTGGTGGTTGACTCTCCACCGATGGGGGATTATGATCCGCAGGCTTAACTCAGCCTCTTGTGAGCCAGGCAAGAGGATCAGAAGGGACTTTCCTGCCATTTGTTCTGAGACTGAGGCTGCTATGACAGACACATTCTGCCTAGCAATGTCAGCTCACCTGTGCAGAACCTGTCAAAGGTGACCGGGGGAGGCCCAGCCACCATTAACCTAGCAAGGCTTCCGATGGGCTATCTCTAGGCACACACACTTTCCCCAAACTGGGGCGCAGACATTTCAAGGTGACCCGCTTTCTGGCCACTCTCCCTTAGGCAGCCTTTTTAAAAGCCAATCTGTCCCAACAAATACTGGTGGTTTCTAGTTTCCCATAAAATGAAAGTTCTGTCTATCTTAAATGTGACTTTTCCATTTTCCTGGGTTGTAAAATCCTCGGGGCACCAAGCACAGGATTCCAAGAAAGAATCCGGCAAGAATCAAAGGAAGGAATACCTAATACAAATGGATCATCCTTGCAAAACCCTGCTTACTTCCCATCTGCCCATCTCCTGGCCTGCCCACCTTCTCCATGCCCACTTTCCACATGCCCACCTCCGCCAAGTCAACCTCCCAGCCTGCTCACCTTCCATGCCTAGCTCCCAGCCTGTTCACCTCCAGCCCGACCACTTGTCCATCAGTCTGTCTGCCCACCCCACCATTTCTTAACCTCCCCCTCTCCTCCTCTCCTGCTCATTAGTAGGCCTATCTTCAAATTGGAATGTAGATGTCTCCAGCACATCACAAGTGTGGATAATCAAACTGAAAAGAGAAAGCCAAATTTTCATTTTTTTTTTTTGAAAATAGAAAGTTCTGATTTAGCAGGCTGGCTTTTTATATTCTTATTGTGTTGAGGCCTTCCTTCTCTCACAAATACTTTTTAAAAAAGGATTTCGATGAAATATTTCTAAGACATAGGTCTCATAAAGAACCATGTTCAACATACCAGAAAGTATACACTTTGTAAATATTTAAGGCTGTGACGAAAACAACAATAACAATAACAACACAACAAAACCCCTTTAGATCGCCCCTTAAGAATGCTCGGGAGGCTGGGAGGCTATGTATTCCTTACACTCTTCAGGCAGGTCGCCTGAAGAACAGCGCCAGCTTCTCCAAGGCATAGATGAGGACGGGTGACAGACAGATGGGAAAGATTCCTGAGAGAAAGAGCACCCAGTGACCCTATCATGACCCCAGACTCCACAGCAGCATGGGGGAAAGGAGGATCCCTAGTTCCAGCCAGATGTGGGGGCTTCCCACAGGAAGAAACTGACCTCAGCTCTGGCTGAGTTCTACAGAAATCCGAGTCTTAATTCCACCAACAAGGAGGTTGAGGAGCCCATGACAGAAGCCACTGTTAACCCTTCTGTAGGGGAGTACCCTACTGTGCGAACATCTAACTGGGGATGTCTGAAGGTCAAGCTGGAGAAGCCCATCCTGTGTGTGGGGACAGAGGGAAGGTAACAACAGAGAGAGAATGCAGGGAATTCCTGTGGGCCAGGCAAGCTTCAGTAGGGTGGATCTGGTTTTGACAAGGGCTCCAGCTGAGAGGACTCCCTGCCAGCAGCAAGGCAACTCCAGCAAAAAGGATGAAGGTGGCCCAGAAAGAAGAGCAGGTTAGACTCTGTCTGTATGACTGTGTCTCCCATGCCGAGGAAAGGCACGGCGGGGACCTTGAAGGATCCACACACATACACAAAAATGCATTTCAGAAAATGAAGCCAACATTTCTACCTGGGGACCTACGGTCCTCATGGCCACACTGCAACCAACCAGCCAGGAAGGAAGTCCACTCTCCCCCTGCTCCCACTCCAAGAAGCCAGGACCACAGTCAGTAGAAACGAAGGCCCCGACAGCCCCCTCTGCTGCTTCGAGCTCAGCTGGGACCAGTGGGACACTGGAAGCTTTATTATAGACTGAACTGGGATTTTTAACAGTTTGACATTATGGGACAACGCAGGAAAGAGCTGTTAGGAACTTTGTACGTTGCCCATGGTTGAGATGGTAAATGCTAACTCATAAGGTGGCAGTATCTGAGTTAGTGGCACGCTCACACGAGTGGGGTCAGTGCCCTGTCAGATGGAGAGTATCATGGAAAAGCTCACTCAACCCCTCTTCCTCCAAGGACAGGTGGAAAATTACCTCTGTGAACAAGAAAGTGGCCCCCTCACCAGATCTGAAGCTGCCTGAAAATTGATCTTGTTCTTTCCAGCCTCCCACAACCAATGAGAAATTAATTTCTGTGCTTTATAAGACACTCAGTTTATGGCATTTTTTTATGACCTAAAGGAACCAACACAGCAAAGGAACTCTTCAAAGCTGAGCCATTGCCCATGCCTGAGGAATGCACAGAACGGTAAAGCTATGTAAAGGCAGCCTTCTTCTTCTTCTTCTTCTTCTTCTTCTTCTTCTTCTTCTTCTTCT